TTTTTTTGGGGGGGAAACGGCGAGTGACGTTCGGACTCCGTGCCCGAGGTCGCCAACTCTATAGTGGGCGTTCACAAGGAAGTTTTCCCGGAACAAATCGGTGAACAAATGAAGATGCAACAACCTGGCCTGCAGAACTTGGAAAGAAACGACCACAATCACTCAGGGAATGGCTTGAAGTTCTCGCTGTGCTTGCATGCAAAGCCTTCGGAGCGTCCTCTCGCCTCAGCACTGCGGGGAACTCACCTCGCAGGCGGCGGCGTGACCCTCACCCCATCTCAAAGGCTTTAAGGCGCAGGGCTCTGGAGGACGCTGCCGTATGTTTGCGATCTAACCTCAGGCTGGCGGTCCGGCCGTCACAGCCATGCGAATGTAAAAATGGCTGGATGGAAACCCCATGTTTGGGATGCCTGTTCTTCTTGGCCTTAGCCTTGGCATTGAAAATTGGAATCATTTATATATTCCCCTCGTCGCGGAAGAGCATCCACTGAAATGCCCGGAGCCCTCATGTCTTGCAAGTTCAATCATCTTAGCCACACAAACAGTTCCCGCCATGCACGCTCTGAGGCCCCCACAGCCCCGCCGAGTGGGCCTCAAGCAAATCGATGCAAATTGGAGCTACGCCTTCCAAAATGCTCCTCTCGGATCCTCTCAGTGGCCGGCCACTGTTTCAGAGCGATGCAGCCTGGCCAACGAGTGGTGGGAAACAGGTCACTCGTCTAGTTAGTTAATGATTTCCTCCTGTTTCATCGTTGCCCACCCTGCAGCACAATGAGCTACATGGCTAACGATTCACAATCATTTCCATCCATACAAATGGCTTGCAAATGGTCGGGCCACGCAACAAGCCACTCGCACCTTCTATACTATATACATGGCTAGGCTAAACCTCAGAACTGTGGCTGATGCTCAGGCGGTCGTACAAAACCATGCTGCTAAACACGGCATTCAGATTCTAACCTCCGCCAGGCCAAAGGCCCTGTGTGTTGTAAAGGGGGTAAGGGGCCATCTGGCATCCGGGGGTGCGCAGTTGTGTTCATCAGAAATAAATGTTTGTGTTCATTCCAAATCCATAACATGCCAACCCCGCGTGAAGTTGGAGGCCGGTCGCTCCACCGTCGCGAGCGCCATGGCCTGGATGAGTCGATGAGGATTGCTTGCCCGTTTGGCCGAGATCGGCACCGAAAAAGAACATAGTTTCAGAGTACGTGGCGCAAACCCAAAAATGTCCTTTAGATGGAGGCCCTGGTTCCACCACGAAACGTGGGGGTGCGGCCATCTTTCTGAAAGCACCGTATTTGGGGTGCGCAGTGCGCCTTTTCATGGGCAGGGTTGGGTGCAATCATAAGGGTGGGTTATATTAGACCTTCCATCAGCTTTGCAGGCGTCATTCATTTCTAAAATCCTTGATGAAACCTAGCGTGAACAGTGTCCGGAAACGGTCAACTACTAGGTCAACTACTAGCTGCACTGGACCTAGGTGCGTGCCCCAGGGCTTGCCAGCAAAGCCGCATGACATGTCTTGGAACAAATGTAGGGAAAAAATCATGCTGACGCGACATGCGGTAGACTGAGGAACAGTTGTGAGAAAAACGTCCATCACCTCAGTGTGCCCCACGCCGCTTCCAAAGTTCAATCCCACACATGGTTTGTTGCGCGCAAGCCCCGCCTGAGTCCACAAATCATCCCACTAGGCGGGCCATGCGTCTATGACTAATTCTTCCTCATTTTGCCCTTGAGGTGCAAAATTTGTAACGGATGAATGCCGGTCACATCCTGGAAAACAACACAATTTGGCTGAGCCGTTGGTGCAATCAATCTTCACTTTGGATAGACAATTGCAGGACCTCACCCGACACTAACGTGGCCGGGGAAAGTGCAAAACACCTTAGCATCCCAACCTTCACACCCCGACCCTGCTACCATAGAAAGATGTGTCAGAACACATACCAGACTGGATGCCAAACACAATTTTCAGAACATTGTGTCAATGCACATGTCGGCAGCATTTGTCAGGATAGCGCTGTCGCCTATTGCCAAAATTTCTTGCAGCAAACGCTGTGGGACCAGCCTTTTCAGCCGTGTGTGTCATTGTGCAAATGTATCTACAAGTATCTACAAACATATATCACAGACACACACAGACACACATGGGTTGGGTTGAAAAGGGGGGAAGGAAAGGCCTGCCACCGGGCGACGGGGGATGCGTGACGAAAGGGCAAGTAAGTTAAATGGTTAAAAACTCAACCAGTGTTTTGGGATCAACCCCTCAACATTGCACAAAAACTGTTTCATTGACCCATCGCTCTTTTCTGCTTTCGGGCGCTCGCAGTGCGTTCATCCAAAGCATCTCTTGCACAAGGAAAGCCTCCTTGGGCTTTGCATCCTTGAGCAATCAGGGTTTTTGTGGATCTTTGGATCTTGACCGCCCACAGGGATATAAAAGAAGCTGCTCTGCTGTGACAATGTTGGACTGCGACAGTGGCGGCAGCTCAGTACTTGATTTTTTTGGTTTCTCCAAGACTTCCGTTTCAGCACCTTCTTGAACTTGTACAGCTGGTCCGTGTGTACCGAATTGGGTGGCAACCTTGACAGGCCACCACAACTTGCACATCCTTTGGCAGCAAAGTGTAGCTAGAGATCCCAGCATCATGCCAGGCACGCACATACACAACAGAAGGACGGCATCTTCCAGCATGTTTGTCTCCAAAACTTCCAAGTACCGTTTACTGGCAAAACTATTGGAACTGCGGGCCACAGAATGGCAGCAAGTTGGACACAAAATAATGACATACTTCAAAGCCAACTTGGCAAAAAGATATCTATATTACAGTAATGCGTCATCAATTTTCACGCCCCTCTTCTGAACTGCCGAAAGTGAATTAAGAGACTGGCTTAGCCTCAATGACCAACTGGTTAATGATCTCAGAGTTAGGTTCTGACCTCGGCGCCCAAAGAGACAACACATCACTATCACCACCCGCAAAGGTAGGAGAAGAACTGGCACGTGCACACAGCAAACAAAGCAACCTTCGCTCCACTGAGTCAAACAATTTTTTCCAGGCCCTGACAAGTGTCAAGGGTAGATCCCCATTAGCGCCCCGCACATTACCTGCTTCTGGAACTTGTAACCAGTTCAAGCATTGTAAATTGAAACTGTCGCGACAAGATCTCAGTCTGTCAACCTGGCCCTGGAGCTGGTGGCCACCATGGCCGTCTCAAAAAAACAAACAAACAAAACAAAGGTGACAGACAGACTTCCCACCTTAAAGACATGTATCACGCTGTTGCTGAAAGGCAGCGCCGCCAAGGTTTAGACTGAAAACGTTTCTCTCCTACTCTTGAGACTCATTGGCGCCGTTGGCCTTTGCTGAAGTCTCCGCCACTGGACCTCCGCCTGGCAAGCCATTGCGACCGTGCAGGCAACTGCAATTTTTCAAAAGCAAAAGAACAGAACTCTAGAAACACATGGCTTTGCTCAGTACAAATCAGACCGCATCAAGACCAGTACGCCTTGAGGTGGTGCAACAGCTCCTCCACCCGCGGCCGCTGCAGCTGCTGCAGTGAGCTTGGAATTGTCCTCATCGATCGCTTTCAACAGCTCTTCCAGTTGTGGAGACGTTCTCCCTTGATCCCGTGCTTCCATCTGCAAAGCGCGCAATGTCTTGATCCCCACCTCATCGCCATTGCTGCCAATGCACACGAACGACATCTTGTAGCCATAGTGGTCTGAGTCTTTGCCCACTCTCTCTCCAACCAACACACCCGCCGGCGTGTAAAGAAGATCTCCTGAAGAAACGTCACTTCTGACACATACAGCACACTGATCACGACCTGCAACCTACTTGGAACAAGTGCAAACAGATTGACCCTCAGGCATCAACCACTGCGCTCCTGCGTCCAAAGACCCCTTTTGCACACTGCCTGGCTGAGCGTCCACGAGCTCCAACAAGTCTTCATCAGACAAATAGCAAGCAAACCCAACAGCTGAGCCATACGTGACCTTATCTCTGTCTTCTTCCTTCCGACGATTGTTGCGATCATGGAGAAAACTCATCACCTGCTCCGTTTTCAAGATCACAACCTCACCTAAGCCAGCAAAAAGGACGACGCCAAACCAATGCATTGAAGACAGATGAGATTTGAAAACCAGGAACAAGAACTCAAAAAAGGCTTTCCACATTCGTTCATGAGTCAGCAAATCTGAAAGGACAGCGATGCAAGGCAAACAACGACACATCAAAAGCAGGCGAGCGACGCCATCCTTTGTTGGAGAGGCGAATGCTTGCGCAACCAGACACTTCGTACTGGATGTTCCGGTGCTGCGCAATGCTGCCATAGCAAGAGGCAGGAGGCACACCGCTGGGTACCAAAACATGGCGGGAAGGCAAAATCTCTGCAGCACGGTTGCTCAGGATCTCCCCACCTTCCTTGGACAAGGCGGCTTGGCACTTGCCTGTGGTGAAGCGGAGGTCACTTTTTTGAAACTTCTCTTCAAAGGATGACATCTCTGCCTCCAACTTGTTCATCTGCTCCGGTGTCGCACCATCCCCTACAAAGATGGTTGGCAAAGGGCCTGCCTCAGTTGCCAAAATCTCCCAACAATCTAAAAACATATGTTCTTACACCCCACTCTCTCAACAAAACAAAAAACATACGCCCCAACTGAACAGCTGGCAAAGGTGCACCAGGCTGCGTTCCTGGGATTCCTGGGCGGAAGTGCTTCCGCTAACTACAGACTTGTTGTCAGCCACCGCCTCCTGCAACCTTGTCACATAGGCCTCGAACTCGTCAGGTGATCCTGAATGGATGATGTTCAAAGCTTCAAGTCTGGTGTGCAAGATCTTCATCTCTGTGGCAAACGGTGGCTCTGATGCTGGGCAGGCGGCTCTTGCTAGACCCAAGACTTCTTTCATAGAATTCCTGAGTGTGACCATCGCAGATTTCTTCTTGTCAAGAAAGCTTCCTAGTTGCCTTTTGGCTCGAGCACTCTGAGCCACAGCGTCAAACCACTTCTCTTCTTTGTCCTTCTCTTCCGCATTCTCCTGCTCAGCAACTTCTGCCTGGCCCTCATCATCTTGGCCATCTGTGGCCTGGTCAGAACCCTTTGGCCTTCGCTTCATCAAATCTGAAACTTTGCCAACTGTCAGCACAGGCACCTCGCCATCGCCACCACAGCTTTGTCCGGCTGCCACTTTCACCCGGTCAAACTTGATTCCATTCTTGTCCGCGTCCATGGCCTTGTCCGTCACAAGCAAATCCACCTTGTTCTGCACTTGTTCCATCGACATTTTGTTCAGCTTCTGCCGCTGCTCAATCTCACGTTCTTCTGCTGCTGCTCAATCTCACGCTGGCTGGCAACATCGTCGTAGTCTACGATGTCTGTTGTGTAGTGGATCGGCAATTTCATGTCTTTCCCTTCACCCTCAGCCACGAGGTAAGGGTCATCCTTGTACTCCTGCCATTTCCGTTCAGCCTGAGACTTCGTCAAATTTCCCCCCCTGAGGGGTCTGGGCAAATTCAATGAACGCATCTTCCGTCATCAACCGCCTGCGGGCTTCACGCCGCACACCACTGGCACTCAAGACACGAACCTTGTAAGTTGTCATGTTGAATTTCACACGACGGCGTTCTTTCTCAGCCTTGAGCTTCTCTTTGTTGTAGGCAACGACCAGGGAGTCGAGCTGCTGGTCATTGAGGGATCTGAACCATTCCAGCTCCTTTGCTGCCTTGGCCTGGTTCTCAAGGTTCTTGAGGTCTTTGCTGCACCCTTTACAATTTCCGTGACCCTGAAAAAACTCTGACACTGGTCTTCCCTTCTTGCACCGTTTGCACTTTTTGGTCTTCTCCTCCACAGGGTCATTCTCTTCCTTCTTAGTCTTCTGCCGTTTTCCTTGGCCATTTGAAGAGGCACCGCTGTTGCCTTGCCGCGCCAGCAAATGTGGACACAACAACCGGATCTCACCTAAAGAAACAAACAAACACACAAAACACTGCGCAATTCAACGCAAAGCACGCTTGGTTCTGGCCTTTGTGCGCCCCCGATCGTTTCCCTCCTTGTCTCCACCGTTTGCGTCCTTCCCATGGTCAGAAGAGAGGGGCTTACTGCTGCCCAGCCCGCCGCTGAAAAAGTCATCACACTCTGACATCATCATGGTCGCTCAGCAGGCAGACTGAATGAACTACAATCCCACAAATGTCTGCTAAACAAACACGCACATTCAGACAATGCACATTGCGCCGGATCACACAATGAAGCAACAGTGGCTCTTCTTCCCTAGCTGCTAGCTCTTGACTGCGCACAGAACTGAAGGCAAACAAAACATCAACATGTGGCACAAACAGTTTTCATAGATGCGCTGCAGTGCACGTGCTGTCAGAGGAACCTGCAGGTTCTCACAACAAGTGAGGACACGCAATGAATTTCTAAGCATCCATCCCCACCTATAGATCCTCCTCAGAAGGAAGTTCCACCACCATTGATGTTGAGCTGAGCAAGAAAGCCAGCACATGCCCAACACAGCCAATATGCATTCCATTCCCGGCCATCGACCGAAGCTGGGGCAGAGGATCTCGCCACAAGTCAGGCTGCTCTGGATCAATCAGCATCTCTTGGAATGGGCCTTGCTCGCGCGCAATACCACTGGCTGGCAAGATTTTTGCTGAAGCAAACCTGTAAAAGAAAGACACCTAAAAGCATTGCTGTATCATCAGCTGGGATGCACACATATGGGGATAGCTGTGAATCGAAGACAGGGAACCCTTGGACTTGCAATAGTTCTGGGCCAGTCATCAAGCGCTGGTGCTTCATGCTGAACAAGTGCGAGTTTCTGATCAAAGCTGGGATCAAAGTGGAACATGGGCTTCTGGCACATGATTGGGTAGTGTTCATCACAAAGAACGGCTTCTCAGCCCGATCCACTTTGGCATGCTGTCGACACTTCCTCAAAAAGATGCCCAAAAAGAAGAAACCAATGCTTTCTCTTTCATTTATCAAAACTGGGGCTCCGTTTTGGGGGGCCATGGGATTCATAGTTTTGGGGCAAAGGGATCTATATACATCGTCCTATGTCCTATGTGAGAAGCAGCGTCGTTAAAATGAGAATCCCTTCGCCCCCCAAAACGGAGCCCCAAACCTTAGAAAGTTTGCACTCAGCTGTACTAGTACCAAACTTGACCCAAACATTTCTCAATACAGACCACTCAGCCCAATTATATATTTCCCAGTGTCTCTTCCCATGCTCGAACTCTTTCACGGGATTCCTTTGAAAGCAGCGACTTGGTGGTCCAACTTGACCCATCTGCTTGAAGCTCTGGTAAGTGCTTGCTCTTGGCCCATTCTGCATGAAAGCGTGCGACATACTCAGGCGGCGCATTGAAGTACACTTCTCCACACAGAGACAGCGGCCGACTGAACAAGGTGAAGAACAGTGAAGCGGGGTCTCCTCGCTGCACTTGCCTGTGCCAAGACAGAACACCTTTCCGCAAAAGAATCATGTAAAGCCGCTTTCTTGTGGCTGGAAAGCCAAACATTTCAGGACTGATGGACAATGGAAGAAGGGTATACCAATCCTTCGTCAGCTCACCCAGCATGTCTGTATCGAAGCCCTCAACACACTCTCCAAGGATGAAATCAGGCTTGTGGTTGACCAGCTGGTCAGCCAAACAACTCAAAAACGTTTCCGCTGATTCACCAAGCCATCCAAGCTGGTTGCCAAGGTTTGACCAATCAACACAAGTAAAGCCCGCTGTGTTTCCTCTTAGAACACCTGACCTGTTCTGCGAGGTGCCTGTCAAGCACGCCTTGTTGTGACACAGGCAAAAGGCCGTTGGACTGATTGCTGCTCGCATGAAGTCTGGCCAAACATGCCGCACAAAGTCCACACCTAGGCGCTTGATAGCCATAGCCGCAGGTACTTTATTGGAATGGACCTGGTATGTGTACCTTTTCAAGTACGCTTGTCGCACTGCACGCATGTTCTGAATAACCTCATCTGGCACGACTGCTCGCAAGTCACTGAAGATACCTTACAAGCATGACGCAGCAAGACCCAAATCCTTCAGCTAAAAATGGCTAGAGGAACCCCCTGACCCCCCCCCCCCCCCCTGAAATGTTTGTAGGGCTATTTCCGCACAATACCAAAAGGTAGACTGAAACTAGAAAGAGACACATTGCATATGGGAACAGTTGAAAAAGAAACAAATGACGGCGAAGCACATTCAGCTTTTGATGGACCATCCACGTGATTCGCGAGGATTCTCTGGCAATGCTTTGAGTACTCTGTCGCGCTGTGCACCTTCAAGGTCCCTGTTTCACAGCCATAGCGGCCCAAAGCCTGCTGAAGAAAGCCAAGCGCAGTCTCTGGTGAACCCACTCCAGAATATGAAGTCGTAATCTCAATGCCTGATGAAAACTTCTCCTCTAGGATATCTAGCATATCCACATTCGCAAGGCGGGTCAACACCACTCCAGGCCAATGCAGCAACTCTTGATAGTTTACTGGCCCCGGGTCGCTCACAACCAGTGAGCGCACAAAATCAAGCCAGTCAATGAAATCATCCTCCGACTCACCATCAGACCGCGGCCTCTTAGACATATTGTTTTGCAAAGATCACCAAAACCGTTGTCGTGTTGTCATGACCCATAGACTCAAATGCTTTCATTACAGCTTGGAACGTTTCATCAACACCATAAATGCTTGAGCAAGCCACAACAAACAATGCTTTGAGCAAAGCAGACAATGGAAAAATGAATTTCAGCTGAACCCAAACCTACTGTTTCCAAAAGGTTTGACAGCTTCCTCAAAACAAGCGTCCGGTGTGAATGCTTTCAAAGCAAGCTCTCTAGGCAAACCTTTCTGTGTACTTAGCGCTGCCAGGCTCAGAACCCAGCCGCTCCAAATCCTGCGCGCACCACCCAGGCCTCCAGAATGTGAGAAGCAAGGCAGTTTCAATATATTTTTTAAGAAAAGTAATCTTTGTTAGCAATTTTATCGCTTTTTTTGCATTTTGAAAATAGTTTTGGTTGGGTTGGTCCAAAACTTGAACTGCTTGAGTGATTTTTATTTGATGTATGTTTGAACTACCTCAGACCCATACGCTTGCTGGCTGTACAGCACCACACATTGGTTGAGAACCAATCTCCTAGGCGCCTGTCCCATTAACACTTAGCAGATTACTAGGACCTTACTCGCGATCCTTTATGTTTAATAAGCACTAGTTACTCGTGGTTACTCGCGGTTAGTTACTCGCACCTTACTCGCCCCCCCTATATATATAATAAACATATCTTACTCGCGGTTACTCGCGGTCTTCTCCAACCACATTTCTATATCGGCCCACCAAATTCCTCTCCAAAACCTTCACCCGCCCGGCCTCTGTGAACTCCAGAAGCTTTTTGCTCAGCCGGAACTGAGCCTAGCGCGCAGATTTCCCATAGTTTTCTACAGAACCCTGCAAAACCCACCAAAGGTGTATAGATTCTTTTACAATCTTGCGAAATCGATTCAATCTCAAAACAAATGCCAAAGGTTTTTCAAAAACCGCTTACTTGTTCAAAAAACGCTGAGAGACACCTGTTTGGAATGAATACAGGTCTGCGCAGGATTTGGGTTCCTGCTGGGAGCTCTCCTGAGCCGCAGGCCACACAGTGTAAAGGGGCCACAGACACATGGCAACCTGAGAGATTGGAGTAAAGGCCAGGAAGCCAAGTATTGGGCTGACTTCAACGTAGCAAAGAAGGTTTCCTCCGCCTAGTCACACACTCCATAGCAAACCCATGACTCTATTGTCTGGTCATGTTTAAACAAAAGTCAACTTCCATGTCACTCTGAGAGCACAACGCGCAAACAGCCAAAAGCTGCTTCTCACAGGCAACTCCTACAAGGTATGGATAATAACTTGAAATTTATAGTAAACAATAACAGGAAACACATGTTCTGGTTTTCGTTGGCACTTACTGCAGTCCTTCAATCTGAACTGCTGCCACTTGCAGATTCGCTAGAGTCGGATGATGAAGTAGTCGATGAAGAGGAAGAGGAAGAGGATGACAGCTTTGCTTCGGAAGTATCTTTCTTCTCACTCTCCAGTTTGGAATCTACCCCTTTGCAACTCTTCTTTGGCTTGGGTTTTGGCTTTGGCCTCGATGGCTTTGACTTTTTGGCTGAGCTGCCAGCGCCTACATCAACATCTTCAACAACTTCAAGGGGAACTTCCATCGCCTCGGATTTTGCAAGAAGAACTTCAGATGGCGGAGTTTCTTGAGCACGAGGATTCCATTCTGAGTGCTGCCAACTCGACTCAAACAATGGCCCTGATACCAACCAGTGCTGAATCATCCGTAGACAATGCTCCCTTGCGGACTCACTGTCTGCACTCACGTTCAACGCTTTGGTGCATTTTGTTCTCGGCCCCTTGCGGTGATAAGGGCACTTGCCCTGCCACGCCCCAAATTTGCATTCTCTAGTAGGCTTCCGCCACGTAATGCGGAATTTCTGAGGACCTGCGCCCCAAGCTTGAATTGTCTCAGGTTGTTGGACTCGGGCCACTGGCACTTTGCTATCACTGTGCGCAACTGAAGAAGAAGATGCTTGGGCAGCTGAAGAACCATGAGCTGCGCCATCCACTTCTGCACCCACCTCCCCATCTTCCGGCGCACAGGAAGGTGTGTAGGACAACGGCTCCCCCATGTCTTCGCTTTTGTTCACTCGCGCGATCATCTCAGCAAGGTCGCTGTCACTCTCACCGGAAGCCCACTCACCCACTGCATCCTCTGAGGGCGCTTTGTTCTGCTTCCTGCGGCGTTTTGCTGGAGGCAACTGACTTGCAACCCCCACATCATCAATCTGCCACTCAAAGCCACCATCCATCAAGAACAGCTGGTCTGCATCTTTCAACGCAGGTGCGCCCACCTCTTTTTTTTTCACTCTGCTCAGACAACAATGCCAAGGCCCCTGCAACATCACCCTGCAGCAGTTTGTTGTAATACAAAGCCTTCTGCCCATGGCGCAGTTCTGGCACATTCACCAACAGCTTTTCAGCAGAAGTCAAGCACATCAAATACTCCTTGCACACAACATTGGAGCAAGTGTAAAAAACCTTTGGCCCACCCAGCCTGTAAGGATCCATGTTTTTCAAGCAGCGAGCTTTCTGCCACACCCACCCCATTCCATGGAGTTCCTTGAGCAATGTACAGGCTGTCTTATCATCCTCCAGCTGCGCATCAACCACCAAACCTGGCCCGTCCAAAACATGCACAATCTCAAGTCGCTTCACTGCTTCTTTTGTCAACTGCCAGCCCCCTTGATGTTGTTGGATGAAACCTTCCAAGGTCAAATCTCTCACCAAATGGTCAGCCTCGGGAGCCCCTTGTACTATCCCTGTTTGCCCTTCCAGCGTTTGCTTATCAAAGAACTCCTTGATAAGCTTTCTGGATTCAGACGAACAGAAATGAGGCAACATGTAAACACACTCGTGTTTGCTGTTCCATTGGTAAATCTGGGACATCTCCTTTTGGTCAAGCTTCTCCAAAGAAATCACATGCACTGCCCCTCTTCCAGATTCAACACTGCCCTGTGGCTGCACATGTACCAAAATTTGATCCGCGTCAGCATGTGGGCCCACTCTCCATCTTCAGAATGCAACGTTACAGCTACTTCTCTTTCCTGCAAGTGCCTCAGGTTTGATTTCACAACCTTGAGGTTTCCTGGTCGCCGGCTCAAGACCTTGAAAACAATCTTCTCGGAAAGGCCAATGCCCCGAGGCTCAGCTGCTGACTGTTGGGTCACACCCAAATGGTGCCTTAGCCACAACGTTGGGATCGAAAGGTGTAAACAAAGATTTCACCTAGACCTAGATCTGATGTGAGCGAGGGTAAACGGAAACTTAGGAACAAAAGACAATCACAATAATCGCCCCCAGTCAAAGCACGCAAGAGGTTGCAAGACCTTTGAGTCCGTAGCCACTGAAGCTGGCAAGGAATAGTACTCTCCTGGTCGAAGAAACTCTACCATATGATCTGCCTGCGCTTTCTGCAAAACGTTCTGAAACGACACAGAGGAAATCGGCTCAGAGAAAGCTCTCTTTTGAGCAGCCTTGATTTGGTTTTGCCGCCGGTCATGCAATTTGCGAGTCTCTTTATGCTGCACAAACATGCTGGAAGTGTCTGCAGAATACAGCATCAAATTGCAAAGCTTCTTTGTCCCAACCTGCTGAGACCGTGGCTTGCTGGTGAGCTGCAGCCATTCCGGGTGCTCTTGCAAACGGAAAGTCGCAACAAAACGGCGGGAATTTCGCATTGATTGAAACGCTGTGCAGAGTTGCGCTTTGCCCTCGCTTGTTTGGAAAAGAGCATCGATCTCAGACAACCGCATGGCACAAGATATGTACGCACAGCTAATTCTGCGATATCCAGCGTGTCTGTGAATGATAGAATGAGCTGCTTCTATCACTCTCTCAACTACTGGAATGAAAGTCAACTTCGCAATCTCTTGATGCAACACTGGCAAGTCAGACAAACGCGCTGAGTCAGCAAGCCTGTCCACCAAAGGTCTAAACTGGCCATTTGGGTCAAGGATCTTCCATGTAATCGGATGATGTTTTTTTTGTCCAAGGGCAACTTCTGAAATTCTGTCACTGCAGATTGAGCGATCCTCTTGTGATCACAGTCTGGCAAGGCTAGTCCAGCACCCAAGGCAAAGTCTGCCAATGACCGAGCTTGATCCCCAGACTCATGTTGATGTAATCGACTCCAAGATTGAAATCGTTAAAGATCTTCTCCCTGGCATCCTGGCGTCAAGATCAATTGTTGTTTTTGGAAGACTAGCTAGTTATGAGGAACTGTAAACTAATGCACCAAATCACTTTTTAACACCGCATGCTTCCCAAACTTGCACGCAAACACCCCTAAACATCTACAGACATCTATCATCTATTTTGGCTATCCCAAACTCTGCTCCTCACTCAAACCAGCGCAAGCAATTATGGCTTCTGCCCTCGCAGCTTCTGCAGCCTTGGCCACTGCCTCAAACAGCTTACCAGCAGCCAGCTCTGGAGCCCTTTTCCCTTTCAATGGACATTCAAATTTGCTTCCATCACACCCACTGTGCTGCAAGCTCAATGATTGCCGAGCGTTCTCAAGGATTTCCAGTTGGCCAGCATGCTTTGTTGCCCCCCCCCCAAGCCATTCATGGCATCGACAGCCACTGCCCCAAGCACTCGCAAAGTGACCTACATAATGCAACTGGCTGATCATTTGTCCGTAAGACCACCACTTCCGATCATGCACTGTGGCAGTGATCAAACAGCAATCCAAAACGTCATCCTGTGAATTTCCTTCCAGTTCTTCATTGCCTTGGCGAAACTTGCCCTCATCCCAAACAACGCGCAAAGCCTTCTCCAGCCGCAAAACATCAGGGAGGGTTTTGACAATTGTTCCCCACCGCCATGAAGCCACTGGGCTCACACAAGTTTCAAAGATTTTGCACAAGGGCTCATGCGCTGTACCACGAATGCACCTGGCCACTAATCTCTGCAACAAATGCCGATGGGACAGGAGATGGACAAGCGCTTTGAAGCCAGGAAGCCACTCAGGCCAGCC